GGGGGTTTTCTTTTCTGCGGACATCACTGTGCCTCAGATTGACGCCGTGATGGAATGACACTTGGAGAGAGGATGATGGACACTTTGGCACCGGGGCTCCTGCTCAGAAATCCTCCCGTTTCCACCAGGCGCGGTGCTGACCGAGCCCTCAGGACGGTGATCAGTCATTTGTTTTGAAGTGGCAGGAAAATCCTCCTCTTGATCGTTTTCTCCCCCCCACCTCCCCCTCAACCTCGGTCGCCAAAACTAGAGTGAGAGATGGTGCGCACAGCGATTCCTCAGAGACTGACGTGCGTACTCATCACATTCCCGTTAAGGAGCGCGTCTTAAAGAGCTTCATTCTTCATTCATGTTCATTCTGCTGCTCTGAACTTGTTGAACGGCGTTAAAGAGCGAGGGGACAGGGAGTACCCCCCACAGGAGAGGGGCATTCAAGAAATGTAAGTTCTTCCTTTTGCTTGTAAACTTTACTCTCTGTGCGTTGAAGCGTTGGCGCTCCAAGCTGCTGCGTGAAAGTATCTGGCTGTTATATCGTTGGAAGTTACTTGGCTGCATTCATCTGCTATAATGACCGGGTAAGGAGGGAGGGAGGGAGGGGGGAGGGCGCGGAGTTGTGGATCTGATTCTTTCCGAACCGCATAAACAACTTCTCGGACTCTCTGAGCCGCAACGGAAGACAGTTTAATATTTACAAATGAGGCGACCTTGAACGCATCCAAAACTTAACGCCATCCCTTCAGGTTATATTCAGAGGCGCCCCCTTGTGGAGCTTATTACCTAATCGCTGCCTGTCTATCACGCGTAATTACATTGGAGTGGTGCTACAGCCAATTGGCCTACCTTTGATACGTAATTATGTGAGCAGCCTATTACAGTTAGCTTTGTTTTGGTACACATGCATTAGCTTCTCATTTCATTCAAGCCTGTTTGATTCTAATGCCCTCTGATGCTTTACAGTCAGTTTGACTTACGGCTCATATTTTGTACACAGTACTCTGGCAGGCATGCTCTTTAGCTATGATATAATTTTTAGTTAGAATGTGCAAGACCCACATGATTTTACCATGGCCTTGTATTGGATACTAGCTAACAATTATTCTTTTGCTGATAACTATTATTATAAAACATGATTGCCCCAGGGTTCAGGGCTAAGACTACGTTCTGTGTAGAGTTCAGGTCGCAACTCCTAGTCAGTCAATATTTATTTTATGGGCTAGTAATTATGAGCATTATGAGTCAGTTTCACTCATCCAGTGAATAAATGACAGGTAATAATGAGATGTATTTTCTGTGTTTTTATTGCAGCTGTCGCTTTAAACCGTTTGGCTATTCCTGCTTATATTTCCGGCATTTGAGAACTACCTGGGCGAACACATTCTTTAGAGCTAAAGTGGACATTTTGAGTATCCAGACATGTCACTGTGGTTGCAGAATAATGTGCTAGCAGCCTTTTAGGAAAAGTGTCTTTAATAATGCATAAGGTGTTCCTGTGTCGCAAAGAGAGGCATGCTTGGTGGCGAGCAGAGGCATAGGGAGGGAGGGAGTGTTAGTGGAGGCGTGATCCTGTCTCAGTGTCTCATTGGGTGCCCCGAGCACTGCTGTGTATGTGGCGCTGGAGTAACTGACGCCCGAGGGTGTTCAGCTCGACTTGGGGCAGCCTCGCTACAGTCACCCTGTCAAAAGTGCTGCTCTCGCACACACAGAGTGCATGTGAGCAGCTTCAGCAGCCCAGGGCAGGGGGCAGGTGGGGTGGAGGGATGAAGTTAGAAGAGACAGAGGGAGTGATAGAGGATTGTGGCAAATGCAGCTGGTGGAGGAAAGCGAAGCACGTCTTCAGCAGTTCAGCAGGGACTCGCTTGCCTTCAGAGGCCTGACCTGTCTGGCTCCAGCACACGCTGGATTTGAGGAGAGGCTGCAGCCGCGTCCTGTTAAAGGAATGATTACTTCAGCAGGGTTCAAGCATGGCTTTTTGATAGCCAGCACTAATATAGCCTTTTCAGTGAGTCTCCTGAATCTTTGTTTTTCATTTTTCAGTTTCTTGTGAGGGCTGGAAAAAGCCTCTCCAAACATCCAGACAAAGCTCTTTAACGGATGCAAATTCCTTAGGCTAAGACACTTGTTATGGATCAAATTGTTGGGCTATTGCATGCAGGTTTCACAGCCAGGTAATAATTTATCATATCTGAGGTGGAAAACAAGTCTCACTACAAACCCAGTTTTGCCAAAGCGTAACAGGCAAACTATTTGTCTAACCCTAGAGCAGAGCCACAGCTTGATTCCTTCTGAGACCACCCATCCCCAACACAGTCACTTAACCAGCTGTCAGCACTCTACCCCTTTGTTACCTGTCGTCATTATTAAAAGATCATAAGTCTGCCGATTGAAGGCGGCGACGTTTTAAGAAGTGGAAAGAGCGCTAAGTGATGGGCTGACTCAGAGGCAAGCCCCAGGGAAGCGTTATAGGCGTGCTCGCTGTTCCACAGTAACGCTGGCTGTCATGTTTGCGGGGCCATGCTCCACTCTCCATATGTTTATTCATGAGGACAGAGGCTCTATTGGCAGGTTGTTAACAGGCAAGATTACGGATTCTGGAAAGGCAGGCAGAGAAATCTGGTGAGTGGAGCACAGAGAGCAGGCAGGAGGCTTTTTTTTTTTTTCTGAAGCCAGGCCAGCTTCTATCTTTATCTATCTTTCATCTGTTTCTGACTGTCTGCCCTCCTGTCTCTCTGCCCTTCTCTCTCCTGCGCTCTTGTTTCTCTTTTAGTAAGGCACTGGTGGGGAATATGAAACAGGTAGAGCCAGAAAAGATGAAAGTAGGTATAGACGGGACAGAAGCAGGGGCAGAAATTGCCCTTGAAAGTGCATAAAATGCGTGAAATTAAAAATGAAAGGGGGGGGAGAAATAGCTTGGACATCAGTGGTAACCTTGTAATTATTCCACCTTACTCTGGGCTGAGCACACCCTTTAAAGCTAAAGTGGCCATTTTTTTAATTTTGGGACAATTAATCAGGCAGGTGTGTAGATACTGCCCCCTGTGGGCCACCGTAGGAGATCCGTGAGCGATTATGACCTGACAATTCTTTGTAGCGTGTCCTGGGTTTTTGATCAGGGAATGACTGGAAATGCAGCGTGGAGCAGCTGAA